AGCTGGGCGTGGTGGCACATGCCTGTAATCTCAGCTACTAGGGAGGCTGAGGCAGGAGAATTGCTTGTATCCAGGAGGCAGAGGTTGCAGTGAGCCAGGATCACACCACTGCACTCCAGCCTGGGCAACAAGAGCGAAACTCCATCTCAAAAAAAAATTTCTCTGTAGCATGCAATGCCATTTGATAACACTTTATCCCTGTAGAACTTTTTTCAAAATTGGAGTGGATCTTCTCAAACCTTGCCAGTGCTTTATCAACTCAGTTTATGCAATATTGTAAATCCTTTGTTGCCATTTCAACGATATTCACAGCATCTTCACCAGGAGTAGGTTCCATCTTGAGAAACCATTTTCTTTGCTCATCCATAAGAAACAACTTCTAATCTGTTCAAATTTTATCATGAGACTACAGTAATTCAGTCACATCTTCAGGCTCCACTTCTAATTCTAGTTGTCTTGGTTGGAGGTTAAAATATCAACATTCTTAATGGCATCTAAAATGGCAACTCCTTTTCAGAAGGTTTTCAATTTACTTTGCCCAAATCCATTAGAGGAATCTCCATCTATTGCAACTACAGCCTTATGAAATATATTTCTTAAATAATAACCCTTGAAATTCAAAGTTACTCCTTGATCCATGGGCTGTAGAGTGGATGTTGTGCTGGAAGGCATGAAAACAATAATCTCTTTGTATATCTTCATCAGAACTCTTGGATGAACAGGTATATTATCAATGAGCAGTCTGTTTGAAAGGAATCTTTTTTTCTGAGCAGCTCTCAACAATGGGCTTAAAATAGTCGTCTATGCTATAAACAGATGTGCTGTCATTCAGTGTATTGGTTAGGGTTCTCTAGAGGGACAGAACAGGATAGATGTATATATGAAGTGGAGTTTATTAAGAAGTATTGACTTACATTATCCCAAGGTGAAGTCCCTAGATAGGCTGTCTGCAAGCTGAGGAGCAAGGAAGCCAGTCTAAGTCCCAAAACTTCAAAGCCACCACGCCCAGCTAATTTTTGTATTTTTAGTAGAGACATGGTTTTGCCATGTTGGCCAGGCTGGTCTTGAACTTCTGACCTCAAGCAATCCACCCACCTTGACCTCCAAAGTGGTGGAATTACAGGAGTGAGCCATCACACCTGGCTGAAAACTAAACATTTTAATCTAATGTGGTAACTCTGGATATCAGATTTTCCCCATTCCTCAGGGTTTCCTTTTTATTTCCATTTCTTTCATTGTTTGGGCTGTGTCTGTCCCAAGAGTCAGCATGAGATATAAACTTTTATACTCAGGTCTTTTCTAATCCTTCACATCCCCTCAGGATACACGGTGATTTTCTAGTTTCCCTTATATATGCAGTTGCTTTTAAATCTCCTAGTCTTCAATGTCTTGCTCCCAAAAAGGGTTAAAAGAGAAAAATGAAGGGGGAAAAAAATCAAGCCCTGTGCAAATTGCTCACAGAAACATGTGCACAGCTGCTGCCATAGGACTGAGGGGTGGGGAATGGGTAGTTACCACAGTTCTAAGAGTTGAAATTGACCAAAACTACAATTTGTCATCTTCCCCTGGAAGTTGCAAGATTTCAATAGACCCCAGATTCCAAAATAGTTACATTAGATAGATTCTGCCAATGCAGCTGCTGTTTAGGCTGGGAGACAGATTTTTGGTGCTTTCTACTCTGCCATTTTCTCCAAATTATCTCTCCATTCTCCCTTTTTTGCAGTCATAAATTTAGTTTTGGTCAGGTCATATGCTTGCTGAGAATAAAAACTACATCCCAACCTCTTGCAGCTAGCTATGACCAGGTGGCCAAATTTTGGCCAATGGGCTGTAAGTGAAAGTAGAAATATACATTTTAAAAGTGTCCTTAAAGAGGTGCTTTTCTGCTATTCCAACTTTATGCTGAATGTGTAATGGGTGACTGGATTTTGGGCAGCCATTTTGGACTATGAAGAAGATACATGTTTATGCTGGACAAACAAGAGGGAAGGAATCTGGGCTCCTGACATCACAGGGTGCCACACCAGTTCTGGACTAACGATAGTTAGGCTTCTTTTAAGTGAGAACTATATTTCTAATTTGTTTAACCACTATTGTTTTGGTGATTTCTATTATAAACAATTGATCCTAATCCCAATTAAGGTGTGCCACTCATTTCCTGGCCCAGAAAGCAATTTTTAAAAAATCAAGAAATAGCGTTGCTGTGACCTCTTTTCTTTTATGCACTCACTAAACAAACGTCCAGCAGGGCTGTAATTTGGAGTTCAGACATGTTAGGCAGAATTCACAAAGGAGAGATGACATTATTAGACGTGAAGGCTCAATCAGGGAGATATCTGTTATAGAAAACAGCATCAGTGATTGTCTTAGTTATTCGAGCTTCTATAACAAAATACCACAAACTGAGTGGCTTATAAACAACAAATATGTATTTCTCATAGTTTTGGAGGCAAATTCACTGTCCTTACATGATGGAAAGACTGAAGAGCTCCATTGGAACTCTTTTAAGGGCACCTATCCCATTCGTGGGGGCTGCTCCTGCATTACCTAATCACCTCCCAAAGGCCCATCTCTTAATACGATCATCTAGAGGGTTTGGATTTCAACACACTAATTTGAGGGGGCACAAACACTAATAAGCTGTGATCCTGGGGTGATCCCAACTAAAGATGCCTCAACTTATGAGAAACCATAAAGTTATAACCAGATGTTAACTTAAAATAAAAATTTGAAGTCTCAAGGAATTACTAAATTCTCAATGATGTCAGTATCTGAAAACAGATTTTCTTTTTCCTGTTTTTCGTTTGTGTGTGTGTGTGTGTGTGTGGTGTTTTGTTTTGTTTTTTTTGAGTCAGTTTCTCTGTTGCTCAGGCTGGAGTGCAGTGGCATGATCTTGGCTCACTGTAACCTCCACCTTCCAGGTTCAAGCAATTCTCATGCCTCAGCCTCTCAAGTAGCTGGGATTATAGGCGGGTACCACCACACCTGGCTAATTTTTGTATTTTAAGTAGAGACGGGGTTTCATCACCATGTTGGTCAGGCTGGTCTTGAACTTCTGACCTCAGGTGATCCACACACCTTGGCCTCCCAAAGTGCTGGGATTATAGGTATGAGCCACCGTCTTTTCCTGTTCTTAAAATTTTTAGTATAAGATGATGCTATAGAAACTGAGCAAGTTTTTTTCTTCAAGACTATTAGCTTAAAATTGTTTATCCTTGAAGTCCAGCTTACTATGCTCCCAATTTAACTCTAAACTTACTAGGGCCTATAACATACAGTCCAGGAGGTTCAACAAGAAAACCTTTGCAGCGTAATGACTAAAAGCATAAGCACTGCTGTCAGACATATCTAGCCTGGAGTCTACCACTTTCAAACAGCGGAACCATGGGAACATTTTTTTTTTTTTTTTTTTTTTGCAGTGGCATGATCACAGCTCACTGTAACCTTGAATTCTTGAGTTCAAGTGATCTTCCTGCCTCAGCATGCCAAGTAGCTAGGACTACAGGCAGGCACCACCATGCCTGGCTTTTTAATTTTTTGAGTTGGGGCCTTGCTATGTTGCCCAGGCTGGTCTTGAACTCCTGGGGCCTCAAGTGATCTTCCTACCTTGCCCTCCCAAAGTGCTAAGATGGCAAGTGTGAGCCACCACACCCAGGTGAGAAAATTATATAACCCTCCTAGGCCTCAGTTCCCTCACTGGAGATAATGGATACAGATTTAATTATAATTTGCTTAGCACAGTGCCTGGCACATAAGCGTCACTCAGTAAATGTGAAGAGTCATCATAAGATTCCAGGGTCCATAAGGCTGTGTAGTTAAGAAGGGCCTCCAGAGACAACCTACCTTATCTCCTACAGATGTCCAGGTTTTATCAGCTTGTGTATAAATGGAATTATACTAACAACATTCACCACGTTCTGCTGGCTCTTAAACGTTCCAGTTAATACGGACACTCTACCCCTGCCATTTCCCTCCCCATGCATCGACATCTGCAAATTCTCCAGTAGTGTCACCAAAAACAAGTCCATATCTTCCTGTGGACATCCATATTATTCCTTTCTCTAGCTTCTTTGCTAATGTTTGTAGCTAAGACCTCCACTGCCTTCTAAGATGCACTGGGATTCCTCTCCATTATCTTTACATTTTCCTTTAAATGTTTTCACCTTACAAAAAGGGTATCATGCTGTATATAATTTTTAGGACTTTTTTCACCTAATGTGCTGTTAATATTCGTGCATATTGTTTTATATCACTGAAGCTCATTTGTTTTGGCTACTGTACAACATTACCCAATTTTCTGATGATGGGCACCTGGGTAGCTTCTAGGCTTTTGCTATTGTGAAAGGACTACAAAGTATATTTGTGTTCATATTTTCTATTGTACATGTACATTTCTCCCAGCATATACCCAGGAGTGGTACTGCTAGATTGTAACGTGTGAATGTTACACGTACTTCATGTATTTTTTTTTTTTAAAAGACCGTCTTGCTCTGTCGCCCAGGCTGGAGTGCAGTGGCATGATCTCAGCTCACTGTAACCTCCACCTTCTGAGTTCAAGCAACTCTCCTGTGTCAACCTCCCAAGTAGCTGGGACTATAGGCGCATGCCACCATGCCTAGCTAATTTTTGTATTTTTGGTAGAGATGGGCTTTCACCATATTGGTCAGGCTGGTCTTCAACTCCTAACCTCAGGTGATTCACCCCCCTCAGCCTCCCAAAGTGCTAGGGTTACAGGCATGTGCCATAGCGCCCAGCTATGTGTTATGTTTTTCATAACTAATATTAGATATTTTCATATCTAATATTTTCACTTCTTATGACTTCCTGTTTCTACTTCATCTTCCCTTGTCTCTTTGAGAATATTTATTACGTTTATGTTTTGGTCTGCTCATTCTGATTCAAAAATATGTTTATGTATGTATTTAAAGGCTTGGAATAACATGTACACAATTACATATGGTGGTCATCTTTGAAGGACTGCAATCATGAAAAACCATCAGTTCAACTGTCCTGGAAAGCATTTCATTTTATTATGTAAAATGTACAAAGCCTTGATCAAAATAAAAATAGGGACAACTTATCAGAAACTGAAGAATTTTCTTAGGAAGCAATGTTTACTAAAGGATACCTTTGTTCCAGCCATGATGAGCATTTGTCTTCTTAGGCAATTCATGGCAAAGCTCCAGGGACAGTATAACCCCTTAATCTTCTCCCACTTATCCCTGAGTCTTGGTCCTGGACTGAAAGTGGTTAGAGGTTGTGAAAATAAAGAAAGAACCAAAGTAAGAACACTCTCCATAAAAGCCAAGCTCAGACACTGGTCCTCTTTTGCTTAGGTATAGCAGGAGCAGGAAGGATCAACATTCTTGAAAGCATACCTTCTATTCATTTGGCTTTTTTGGCTTGGGGTGCCACTGCAGAGCTAAGCACACCACTACCCTTTCTCCATTCACAAATGTCTGCATAGGTACATGTCCGGCACTTCCAAGCCTCCTCCACGTCAACTCCCTGAGGCTCTCGGTGGCCCATCCAGTAGGCCATATAATGCTGCACCTTGCCTCTCACCTCCTTCTCTTCAAAGGCTACAATTTCTGTACCCAGCACAGTGGCAGTCTCTTGGTAGATATACTCAATCTTCAAGATATCAATAACTGGGAGGTCTGACAGTGTTAGAGACAAGAAGACTAGTTCCATGAGGTCACCCAAAGACTTCACAGAGAAGCCTCCCTGCTGGGCATGCCTCAGCACTGATGGCCCCAGTGGCTTTTCTGGACACAACTTTGTGTGGTGGATTAGGCTAGCAGGGGTCACTTTTCCTTGTACCATGGCATCAAAGATATATTTGTACAGCCTGACTTGAAAACAGTCTTTCTTTTTCTGAGCTTCCAGAGGGAGCATAGGGTGCCTGCGTGTCTTGAGTTCAGTTAGTTCCAGCTCCCCTTTGGCTGTATAGTGCAGCTCATCAATCACTCCAACAAGAAGTACACCCTCCACTTCCCCAAACACTGGAAACTCTCTGATGTGCCCTTCTGACTGCAGGGTAGGAATCATCGAAAGTATGTTCAGAAACTTAATTGCCCAAGCATCTTCTTTAGTGGTGACCGGGACAGTAACAAGATCATGAAGTTCTAGTTCTCTAGCTAGGTGTATGCTGGCACCAGTGTCCAAAACAGCTGCCTTCTCAGGTGCCAAGAAACCAGGAAGTTCCTTCCCATATGCTGTTTGCAGTTCACACCAGTTCTGAGAAGCCAGGTCAGTGACATATAAATATTTAAGCTGGAATCTCTCCATGGGTGATAAGATATCCAATCCCCTTTTCCAGTTTTGTAAGCTTATGGGTTTGTCATCCTTCCCAAGGGATTCAGAAGATGGACCAGGCATGTTAACTAAAGCATTTGACTCTTGGGCATCTTCTAGGTCCAGAAACTCTAGGAACTCTGAGTCACTTAAGTCTGAGAACCCTGAGGCTTCTGCTGACACTGTCTCTTCTTCTCTTGGGTCTGCCATGGCACAGCTCTGGATTGGGCTAGAAGGGCCCTGCATAACATGTTAAAGAAATGCACTGTCCAAATTAAAACTTTCTCAAAAGCACTTTCAAATTTCAGCGAGATAAAAACAAAATCCTGACAAATTATTTATTTACATTCTTTAAAGACACCAGTTTACAACCAATTAGTAATGCCATAGAGATGTAGTACAGGATGTATTGTAATAGGGTTTCTTACATAATCCAAATATATCTGCTTGGCAGAATATTTTAAGTGGAAAAACAGTTTTATTCCTGGATCTTCCACTAACATACTGTGTGTAACTTTAAGCAAATCACTTTTCTTGGCCTCAGTTTCTTCAGATTTAAAAAGAGATTTGAGGCCAGGCACAGTGGCTCATGTGTATAATCCCAGCACTTTGGGAGGCCGAGGCAGGCAGATCACTTGAGGTCAGGAGTTCAAGAGCAGCCTGGCCAATATGGTGTAACCGCATCTCTCCTAAAAATACAAAATTAGCTGAGTATGATGGCGCATGCCTGTAATGCCAGCTATTTGGGAGGCTGAGGCAAAAGAATTGCTTAAACAGGGAGGTAGAGGTTGCAGTGAGCTGAGACTACATCACTGCACTCCAGCCTGGGTGACAGAGCAAGACTCTGTCTGAAGAAAAGAAAAAAACATGGAGATTTGAGGTTTGCCTTTTCTGCTTCAAAATTCTATTGACTTTAAAGAATATTTCATTATTTTAAGTGAATATAGATCTTTGTAAATGTAGGAGCAATTTTTGACAAGGTTACCATGGGCCACCTTCTATAATTCCCTTGATACAAAGCCCTTGGCCAGGAAAATGAATCTCAATTACAGGCTGTTCCTTAAAAAAAAGCAGCTATGCATTAACTTTTTTTTTTTTTTTTAGATGGAGTCTTGCTCTGTCACCAGGTTGGAGTGCAGTGGTGTGATCTCGGATCACTGCAGCCTCCACCTCCCGGGTTCAAGTGATTCTCCTGCCTCAGCTTCCCGAGTAGCTGGGACTACAGGCATGTGCCACCATGCCCAGCTAATTTTTGTATTTTTAGTAGAGACGGGGTTTCACCATGTTGGCCAGGATGGTCTTGAACTCTTGACTTTGTGATCCACATGCCTTGGCCTCCCAAAGTGCTGGGATTATAGGCATGAGCCACCGCATCTGGCACATTAACTGTTTCTAAATGCAGTTCAAGGAACCCAGTATGGCAAAATTCAAAGATCAACTATAGATAAATACAAATAAATACAGTCTAACACAACTTAATGCATAAAATAATAAGAGGATGTTACAGAGACACATGGCAATCAGTAGCTTGACTTCATAAATTATCCTCTTAATATTATAGAAACTGGTGTCTGTCACTAAACTGGTGTTTCCCATTATGTTTATTTTCCCCTCCACAAGAAACTAGCTTATAATGGGAAAAAATCTGCCTATTAGAGAATTATTAAAAACTCAAAATTTACTGCTATCACAGAGAATATTTATTGTGCGGTTATTTGCTGTGTGCCAGACACTGAGCCAAGTGTTTTACAGCAAATATCTCACCACCCTACTGTGGGATGGGGACTGTACTCTTTTTCCTCTTTCAACTTTTCACTAGAAAGATTTTTAAGGCCAGATACAGTGGCTCAAGCCTGTAATCCCAGCACTTTGGGAGGCTAAGGCAGGTGGATCACCTGAGGTCGGGAGTTCAAGACCAGCCTGGTCAATATGGTGAAACCTCGTCTCTACTAAAAATACAAAAATTAGCTGGGTGTAGTGGCGGGTACCTTTAATCCCAGCTATATGGGAGGCTGAGGTAGGAAAACTGCTTGAACCTGGGAGGCAGAGGTTGCAGTGAGCTGAGATAGCGCCACTGCGTTCCCACCTGGGTGACAGAGTGAAGACTCCATCTCAAAAAAAAAAATTTTTTTTCAAACATACAGAGAAGTAGAAAGAACAGAACAATGAACACCAATATCCACATCATGTAGATGAACAGCTGTTAACATTTTTCTGTATTTGTTTCTTGTATGTGTACTTTTTTTTATTTTGGCTGAACTATTTTAAAGTAAATTATAGACATCATAACACTTCAAAATCCAAATGTTTCAGCATACATTTCCAAATGACATTCTCTTTCATAACCACAATAATGTCTTCCAAATGACATTCTCCACATAAGTACATTATCACATCTGACAAAATTAGTAATTCCTTAACATTCCAGTTCATATTTGAATTTCCCCAACTGTCCTAAAAACATCCTAAACAGCTTTTCTTTAATCCAGGAAACAAAGACCACACATTATGTTTGATTGTTTTGTATTTCAAGTATTGTTAATCTTAAGAAGCTAGGCAAACTATCTTAAGATACCCTTTTTTCCCCCTACCTGCCCTCTAAGATACTCTTTTTAAGCCTTCCTCCTAATCCCACATATCTAACCTGCATAAAGAATAAAGAAAACAAGGTATCACTAGTCCACTAGTGTTTGAGTGCCAGGAAAATAAATTTGACACAGAATTTAAGCTAACAGAAATAGCTATGTACCAAAATGTCTTCTTCTTGCTATTCTAATAAGCAGTGAAATAAGGTGAATGCATCAATTTCTACGTCAAAGTAAGAAGTGATGTCCTGAAAACATCATTAATATAGCTGTATTGTGTTTAACTGATTTTTAAATAGTCTAAACATCAATAATGAAAGAAAACATAGAGAGCTAGAAGAAAAATTATCTGCAATGAATAAAAATAATACAATAGTAAGACTTTTGCTTATAGAGTATCCTATATAGTTACTGCTTTATTGGATATTTCAATAGTAACAAAATACAGAAGCTATACATCTGCACAAGTGTTATAAACTAAATGTGCTTTAAATTATGATAATTTCAAGAAACTTTATTTGAACTGTGAAGTCTCTGAAAATTGGAAAGAATCTCTACCCTTCACCAAGAAACTAAAATTAAAGGACATTTATAACATAGGCTATAAGGTTTTTGTGGAGGAGAGTGGGGACTCCAAGACCAAATCAATTAACCTTAAAATGGTTTATTTCAGGCTGGGCACGATGGCTCATGCTTGTAATCCCGGCACTTTGGGAGGCTAAGGAGGGCAGATTACCTGAGGTCAGATGTTTAAGACCAGCCTGACTAACATGATGAAACCCCATTTCTACTAAAAATACAAAAAATTAGCTAGGTATGGTGGCACGCGCCTGTAATCTCAGCTACTTGGGAGGCTGAGGCAGGAGAATCGCTTGAAACCAGGAGGTGGAGGTTGCAGTGAGCTGAGATCGTGCCATTGCACTCCCACTTGGGCAACAAGAGTGAAACTCCGTCTAAAAAAAAATTTTACTTCAAATATCTAGAACCGGCTGTCCAATATGGTAGCCACTAGTCATATATGGCTACTTAAATTTAAATTAATTAAAATAAAACTCATTCATCAGTTGCACTAGCCATATATTAAGTGCTCAGCAGCTACATGTGGCTAGTGGACACAGATAAGGCACAGATACAGAACATTTCCCTGATCACAGAAAGCTCTACTGAACAATACAGAGTTAGACTATTCCTGTGTACACATTAACTCCCCAAAGAGAGAGTAACCTCCTGAAATGTATCGAGCTCCTACTTGTTTTACATACAACATTGATAACAGGTAGTCCTAAACAGGACTGTCTTTTGGAGTGAAATGTCTTTTGGAGAAGATACAAAGCAGAGCATTCCCTCTGTGAAATTATTCATCTATAAGAATAAAACATACACTAAGGATGGATAACTGACATTCAGATGTGTGGCTGGGACTTTCCTATGCAGAAAAGAATCCAGGAGAGAGCATAATGTAGTGCACTGTGTCTCACAATGTAGTTTGTGTCTCTGACACGAGATGATTTTACATACTGCATGGACTAACATTTTTAAATACACCTTAGAATAACTATAATATTATTGGAGCAGCCATCAAATGCCTAATTTCACAGATATTGTTTCTTAGGACAAGTTTGAACTTTTAAAAAAATGTTTAAGTTAAAAAAATATGAGAACAATACAGGTAGTACATCGGTCTGGCAAAATTGTTAGGTAGTAGGTGAATGGGATGTTGGGAAACACCAGCATAATGCCAAGAGTCTCGGAGTCCTACAGATCTGGATTCTGAACCTAATCCTGAGTAATTCAGTAGCATTTAGTAGGATGCTACTTGCCTTTTGAGTAAGCTTGGAAAAGTTTTAGTTTTCCTGAAGTTACTGACACATCTTTAAAATAAGGCTACACCTTCTAACCCTACTCAGTTATCCGACCATTGAGTGATAACATATCATACACATAATTAGCACTCGATAAAGATAGATCTTTTTCCCAAGGAAGAGATGAGAGTATATCGACTCCCCCTGACAAAGGAAATTAAACTTTAGAAGAGAAATAACTCCTATTCACCTGTGACTTAGTTGATCTTCCTCCTCATAGGGAAGGCCAGAGGGCTGAAATGACAAGGCTAGGAAAGAGAAAGAAGTTTTGAAAGACGAGATCTGCATCAAAGAACCTAAATGAGCAACTTGGGTCCTTGCTGTGGTAGAACCGGAACTTCTGGTCCTTTCTCACCTGACCATTCCCTCACATTGGGTGTTTTCTCCTCTCAGATTCAAACTGCAGACTGTTAACCACCTCAGATCCTAGCTTACATAACGCTCACTTATGGGGCAAACTCTCCATGATTTCTTCGTTTTCCCTGCATTTTGGATATAGTTACTTCATTCAATCCCGGCTCCCCGCAAATAAAAGGGTCAAACATAACCAAGGTCCCCGAGGGGCTCCGAGATCAGTTCCCTCTTCCAGTTCCAGTCTCAACCCTACAGCTCAGTCAAGAGACCTTATGACAGTGGCTCTTCCTCTCTGATGGGTTCCAGCTGTCTGCGGAATTACCAGTGGCAACATCCTGACTTGTTCAGTGCAGCCTGGATTTGTGCGCTCCGCGGGCATTTGCCTTCAGCGGAGACCTTTCTCTGGCCCTAAAGCACTGTCTCCCAGGGAGTGCCTTGCCTACCAAGCATACTGCGCACTTCCTACAGTCCTGGCAGAGCCAGCAATGAGAGCAGAGCCGTCCACCTCGGGAAGGAGTTCCAGCCGACCGCACGGCGTTCCAAGGGCGAAGCTCCAGAACGGAACCCGGCCTGCGAGGAGAGACGAGACGAACCGCTTCCCGGGAGCCGCTCCCACCAAGGAAGGGGACGCGGCGATCGCAGGGACCGAACCCTGGGCTCCGAAACCCTCCCACTCCATTCTCTGGCCTTCCCCTAATCTCGGATACTCATCCGAACCTCGGATTCCACCTGGTTTCACCGTGGCCTCGGAACTGCTCCCGGACTCTCCCCACGAGGAGACTGAGGATGCCGGGCAGAGCGCGCTGCCGAAGCAGCCTAAAACGTCTGCCCGCCAGTCGCAAAAAGCCGCCCAGAGCCCAGTCAGTCCCAGAGTGCCCCGCAGCTGCTCACGTACCGCCTTCCCAGAGGCCTTCGCGACGCCGCCTGTCTTCCGAGGAGGCGGCATGGGTGGAAGTTAGTCTCTGCTGGCAGGGGGAGGGTGCTGCTTATGTGAGAGCCGGTTTTGGGAGCCCGCTAAAGCCTGGCAGTCCCTCCGTTTGCTCCGCTATCTGCGGGTCGTTTAATTCCGGGCGCGGCTGACTGTAAGCTCCCTATCTGGCGGGGACAGTCCGACCAAGGTCTGGGCCCGTAGCTGCCCCCGGGTGAAGTGCCGCGTCTGCTTCGCTTGGCCTGCGGTGGATTCAGCGTCCCCACCATAGCACCTCCCACCGGCTTTTCCAGTGAGAGCAAAACCACGAACTCATTTTTCGGAGATGCTGGCACTCCTCTGATCCATATTCTTTTTTGTGTGTGTTTGCTTACTTTTAACCTTTTATTATGAAATACAAAGCAAAGTGTAATTTTTATGAACAGATAAGTCATCATTAGAGCGAAGAAAGAAGTGTCAGGCTCTTCGCAAATACACTTCCTGAGAAAACCACTAGCCCAACTTTTATGACAGTTTGCTTTTCTAATTTTTTCCCCCCACCGAAAGCAGATACTTGATTCTTTGCTTTTCTTTACGGTTTATCACTTGAAATCTGGATTTATGGCAAAGGTGACATCAGCCAGCCATGGAGAAAAGATGGCTCGTTCAATGAAGGTTCCATGACAATATGATACCCTTATGAAAAAAAATATGAAACAGAACGTCTATCTCACTTCATCATAAAAATCAATTCCAGGTGTATTAAAGACCTAAATGTGAAATCTTAAACTATAAAGCTTTTAGAATATAATACAGGAAAGTATCTTTAGACTTCAGAATAGGTAAATATTTTAAAACAAAAATAGAAAAGCATTAACTTGGCCAGGCATGGTGTCTCACGCCTGTAATCCCAGCACTTTGGGAGGCCCAGGTAGGTGGATCACTTGAGCTCTGGAGTTGAGACCAGCCTAGCCAACATAGCGAAACCTCATCTAATACAAAAAATTAGCCAAGTGTGGTGGCAGGCACCTGTAATCTCAGCTACTTGGGAGGCTGAGGCAGGAGAATATATGGTTTGGCTCTGTCCCTACCCAAATCTCACCTTGAATTGTAGCTCCTATAATTCCCATGTATCACTAGAGGGACCTGGTAGGGGGTCCTGGAAGGCTGAGTTTGCAGTGAGCTGAGATCAGGCCATTGCACTCCAGCCTGGGTGACAGAATGAGACTCTGTCTCAAGAAACAAAACAAAACAAAAACACAAACACAAAGAAACATTAAGACAACTACAGGCTGAGTGTGGTGGTTCACACCTGTAATCCTAGTACTTTGGGAGGCTGAAGTGGGTGGATCCCTTGATCTCAGTTTAGAAACCAGCTGGGGCAACATGGGGAAAACTCGTCTCTACAAAAAATACAAAAATTATTTGAGGTGGTCATGTGCCCCTGTAGTCCCAGCTACTCTGATGTGTCAGTTGGGAAATTTTTGAAGCGACGTGTGTTTTAGATAATATTATCAATCAATTATAGATCTCCTGAGTGTCATAATGATTTTGTGGTTATGTAGGAAAATGTTCTTTTTCTTAGAAATATGGAAGTTGAGTGTATTAGTCGGTTCTCATGCTGCTAATAAAAATATACCTGAGACTGGGTAATTTATAAAGGAAAGAGATTTAATTGACTCACAGCTCCACATGGCGGGGGAGGCCTCACAATCATGGCAGAAGGTGAAGGAGGAACAAAGTCACCTCTTACATGGTGGCAGGCAAGATAGAGCATGTGCAGGGGAACACACCTTTATAAATAAAACCATCAGGTTGGTTGTGTGTGGTGGCTCATGCTATAAGCCCAGCACTTTGGGAGGCCAAGGCTAGTGGATCACCTAAAGTTAGGAGTTCAAGACTAGCCTGGCCAACATAGTGAAACCCCATCTCTACTAAAAATACAAAATCTTTGCCAGGCATAGTGGTGTATGTCTGTAATCTCAGCTACTCAGGAGGCTGAGGCAGGAGAATTGCTTGAACCAGGGAAGTGGAGGTTGCAGTGAACCACGATCATGCCACTGCACTCTAGCTTGGGCAACAAGATTGAAACTCTGTCTCAAAAACAAAAACAAAAAAATCTGGAGACAACAGATGCTGGAGAGGATGTGGACAAAAAGGAACACTTTTACACTGTTGGTGGGAGTGTAAATTAGTTCAACCATTGTGGAAGACAGTGTGGCGATTCCTCAAGGCCTTAGAAATAGAAATTCCATTTGACCCAGCAATCCCATTACTGGGTATATATCCAAAAGACTATAAATCGTTCTACTATAAGGACACATGTACACGAATGTTCATTGCAGCACTGTTTACAATAGCAAAGACCTGGAATCAACCCAAATGCCCATTGATAATAGACTGGATTGGAAAAATGTGGCACATATACACCATGGAATATTATGCAGCAATCAGAAATGATGAGTTCGTGTCGTTTGTAGGGACATGGATGAATCTGGAAAACATCATCCTCAGCAAACTGACACAAGAACAGAAAATGAAACACTGCATATTCTCACTCATAGGTGGGTGATGAAAAATGAGAACACATGGACACAGAAAGGGGAGTACTAAACACTGGGGTCTATTGGGGGGAAAAGGGGAGGGCCAGTGGGAGGGGGAGGTGGGGAGGGATAGCCTGGGGAGAAATGCCAAATGTGGGTGAAGGGGAGAAGAAAAGCAAAGCACACTGCCATGTGTGTACCTACGCAACTGTCTTGCATGCTCTGCTCATGTACCCCAAAACCTATAATAAAAAATTAAAAAAACAAAAACAAAAACAAAAACAAAACAAAACCATCAGATCTTGTGAGACTTATTCACTATTATGAGAACAGCATGGGAAAGACCTGCCCCCATGATTCAATTACCCCCTACCAGGTCCCTCTAGTGATACATGGGAATTATAGGAGCTACAATTCAAGGTGAGATTTGGGTAGGGACAGAGCCAAACCATATCATTGAGGAGGTGCTTTTTACTCCATTGAGATATGAGAAGGCATTTCTGAATTGAGGCTAAAAAAACTTTCTGCCTCTTTCCCAACATAACCTTTCTTACTTGAGATGTAAACTGAATGCTAGGAAAACCCCTCCCCAACCCATTCACACATGGACCACTCTTCAAATGGAGTTTGAGGGGGCAATGCTACTGAGCAGAGTGAAGCAGAAGAGGTTTAGGAACAGTCATGGAATTTGTGGGGAAAATAAATATCCAAAACATAGTACCATATTCCCCAAAGCTTTCACCCTAAAGACTGTTGGTCTCAAAACTGAGAAAAGAATGCCCTTTCCCCAAAAGCCTGTCCTAGGAAGCCTGAGTCCTTAAGGTCCACCTGTATGCAAAAGTCATTGATTTGGTTCTTCCATCTCCAGGTCTGTAACCATACAAATACTGTCAGATACAAATGGTCTGAAAATTTTCCTCTGTGTTCATTCTTCCCTTCTTGGTCTTTTGGAGCACAGGACTGTATGTCTAACACTGTACTGACTACAGTCTACCATGCATGAGAGTAAGCCTTTACATGATTACTCCTAGAGCTGCGCAGTCCAATACAGTAGCCACTGGTTACGTGTGGCTCTTGAACCCTTGAAATGAGGCTAGTCCAAAATGAAATGTGCTATAACTATAAAATATACAAACACTTTGAAGACTTAGTACAAAAAAAGAATGTAAAATAACTCACTAATAATGTTTACATTGATTAAATGTTGAGATGATAATGTTTTGGATATACTGGTGATATGGTTTGGCTCTGTGTTCCCACCCAAATCTCACCTTGAGTTTTATTTATTTATTTATTTATTTAGATGGAGTTTCGCTGTTGTTACCCAGACTGGAGTGCAATGGCACGATCTTGGCTCACCGCAACCTCCGCCTCCTGGGTTCAAGCAATTTTCCTGCCTCAGCCTCCTGAGTATCTGGGACTACAGGCGCGCACCACTATGTCCAGCTAATTTTTGTATTTTTAGTAGAGACGAGGTTTCACCTTTTTGACCAGGATGGTTTTGATCTCCTGACCTCATGATCCACCCATCTCAGCCTCCCAAAGTGCTGGGATTATAGGCGTGAGCCACCGCGCCCA